TCCAACCATGGAAAACCCATTCTTAATTCTAAAAACTCTTCTAAAAACCATTCCACTACTATTCTAAATAGTTTTAAGCATTGAAGTGATTTCTATACTATGCAAACCAGATATCAAGAAAATAACACATATTTTGCTTGTAATAATTGCAGTCTCCAGAGCATTCTAAGCAAGTTTTCATTTTTTTGAGGTGGAATGGAATGAAAAGTTACTCTGTGAGGTTTTCCACTTAGGAAAAGAAGCAGCGTATGATAATTAGATGTTACATGGCATCCTAACAGAACACCAACTCCCACCTTGCACTGAAAGCAAATATTTTAAGAGAAAACATACCACTGGGAAGAACACTGATACCGTCTCTTATTTCACCTCTGTAAATTAGTATCTTTCATTGAAGAAGAGAGGATCCATTGAAATTACACACTCTGGTTAGAGAACCAAAGGATCCCTGAAGTGAATCTCTGCATCTGAGCCCAGGGAAGGTGTGTACCCTGGGTGTGAGCAATAGTTCTTTTTGAACCTGTCAACTGCCTGTTAAGTATTGTAAAAATATGCTCTTTTAATTAAATTCTGAAATGTGCCAAACACGTGGAACTTCTGTTGAATTCTCAAAGAGCACTGGGTGCTCAGCATTCCCCCAAAACTGCCTGGTTTACTGTAGACACATTTGCCTGATTTAGCATCCCTACCTTAAAAAGTGTGGTGGCAGGTTACACAGGAGAGCAAGAGCAAAACCTAACTCAGGTGTTCCAGAACCTGTCTATAGTCATTTTTTTTCCATTAGGAATAAATCCTAATGTACCACCAGAACTGAAACGGGAGTTGGGGCGATTCAGTAGGGCTGTACTAATATAATTTGGAATTTTTGCTGAGCTGGAATGCGCTTAGAATTAATTAGCAACCATTTGTAACAAGCGAAGGAATGAAGTAATGATGTACTTCATGGAATAATTAAAAGTGTGCATTGTGCTGTGGGAACACAAAGATCCAGAGATGTAAAAAAAACATTTCACTCCTCAATTTACCATATTCCATCTTCAATTTCAGGGTGATTTAAGGACACGCCAAATATTCTAAATTGCCAATATTCTTTCAAAATCCTCCTGGAATCCCAGTTTTATAATGCTGGGTCTTTTGTAGGAGCTCATTAATGCTGAAATGCAAAACCAGCTGTCAATAATTGGAGAGCGATAATGTAAATTGCGATGTCTGTTCAGAGTAGGTAGAAAATGTTTGTTACTCTTTTCCTTGGAGGGGATGATTTGAGTGATGGGGGGGTGGAATCTCTTTGGTTTTTACAATCCCAAACCTATTTTTAAGTGAGCAAACCTTTATGGGCGACAAACTAACATTTCATTTCCATTTCTCTCTCTTCATTTTACAGTTTGGGCAGCGAGCGGGTGCTGCCGCGCAGATGGAAGAGAACACCCACGTCTTGGAACTGGCAGGGGGTGTTTGAAGAGAAGCTTCTCTCATCTCTACTAAAGCAGCATCAACAGCAGGTTAGTACTGGAGGATTCCTTGGGGAACCCCCAAAAAAGGGGCAGCAAAATGATTCTGTAAATAATCACTATAGGCTAATGACACCCTAAATAGCTTAAGGCTTTAATTGGTATCAAGCGCCGTAGTCGGGTTCCTAAATTAGTGGTGTAACTCCCTGGTGTCTCCTTGCTGTTAACAGAGAAAAACAGTCATCTAGAAGATAGTGCATATTTCTGGAGGTATCTATGTCTTTCTATTAGTTGTTAAAGGTGTTGAGACCACATCCGTAATGGATGAATCCTGTTCATGGTCAGTACTAGTTGTGGGATGAGAATATAACCTTTATCATCACTGTTCCATCCTCTCTGCGTTGTTATCTCTCGGGAATTCACCAGGAAACATAACCCAAGCAAATGTAAAGGTTCCAGTGACACACTGAATGTATTTTCACTGAATTTCACTGAATTTTAGAGTTGGAAGGGACCACAGAGATCATCTAGTCCAACTCCCCTGCTGAAGCAGGATTGCCTAGAGCTAGAGCATGTTACTCAGGAGCAGCCAGGTGGGGCTTGAAAATCTCCAAGGAAGGGGACTCCACACCCTCCCTGGGCAGCCTGTTCCAGGGCTCTGTCACCCTCACTGTGAAGAAGTTTCTCCTCATATTTGAGTGGAACCTCTTATGTTCCAACTTGTGCCCGTTGCCCCTCGTCCTCTCACTGGGAACCACTGAAAAGAGTCTGGTTCCCTCCTCCTTCAACCCTCCCTTGAGATACTTGTAGGCATTGATAAGGTCTCCCCTCAGCCTTCTCTTCTCCAGACTAAAGAGTCCCAGCTCTCTCAGTCTCTCCTCATAAGGGAGATGTCTTTGGTATTGTTATGCAATGCAGAGTTTAAGCAGTTCCCAACTTGATAAATACACTGCATTTCCATCTCCCCATGTAGATTCCAGAGACAACCAGTATGATTTCTGCATAGAATTTGTACAGGAATTTCCCTGTGGAAATAGTACCTTTCCCTCATAAATAAATCTTGATAAATGATTGTGTAGATCAAAAATAACATGGGGTGTATTTACCTACAGCAAAGGCTAGGAGTTTTAAGTGATTATGTATAATAGGCACTGATTTTAAACAGCAAAAAACCAAATGAACATAAAAAGCCAACCTAATCAAAAAAGGAGCAACTCTGCTCTTCCTTAATTGGATTGAGTGTCGACAGAGCTCTGGTATTGTTATGCAATGCAGAGTTTAAGCAGTTCCCAACTTCTTAAATACACTGCATTTCCATCTCCCCATGTAGATTCCAGAGACAACCAGTATGATTTCTGCATAGAATTTGTACAGGAATTTCCCCGTGGAAATAGTACCTTTCCCTCATAAATAAATCTTGATAAATGATTGTGGAGATCAAAAATAGCATGGTGTGTATTTACCTACAGCAAAGGCTAGGAGTATTTAAATGATCATGTATAATAGGCACTGATTTTAGACAGCAAAAAAACAAATTAACATAAAAAGCCAACCTAATCAAAAAAGGAGCAACTCCCCTCTACCTTAATTGGATCGAGTGTCAACAGAGCTCAGGCAGGAGGTAAGAGGTGGCCTGAACATCCCCAAAGGCAATGTCACAGGAAATAAATTACCCATTTTTTTTTCAGATCTGCTTCCTCCTTTGTGTTTATGAACATGGGCTCGTTTGGGTCTTGTTGTTCCATATCTGCAGAAAAGCTCAGGGCTCCCAACTTACGCACTGCACTGATTTAAGAGCTGAATTTCATTTTCTCCCCACCTGATAACAGAATTTGGGCACAAAATGCCATAAAGAAACACTTTCTAAAATCAACCCCTATCTGCTAGTTGATCCTAAATAGTTCAATTTAATCCCAGCTCTGTGTCTGAATTAAAAAGTGGTAATTGAAAAGCAAAAAAATATCCAGCTGAATGGAAGTGGCATGTTTTATAGAACTTTTCTTAAGAAATGGGAAGTTTCCCAAAGCCTGTGGTGCCAAAGTCAGTTTTTAATTATGTTACTATAAATTAAAACTAATTATGCTTGTTGGAGTAGAAGCTTCTTCAGTTTGTGTTGTAAATGAAATGAAACCCCATCCCACTGAGGTACAACAGAGCAAAAACCAGATCTGCATAAAGAGATTTCGGTGGTTTTGCCAGTCTAGTCACTGGGAGAGCTCTTACTCCACACTTGGACAACCTGGAATAAATATAGACATCACGGGCGCGCTGCAACCCCTTTGCTAACTGCTTTGTTCTGTTTAGAATTTCTGATTTGGCTCAATTTCTTTCCTTAGGAACAATATGGGGCAGGCAGTTGGTGACAGCTTCGAAATTCTGAGCTGCTAAAATATGCAGCACAGGTCCATGACGAGGTTTCCTTCACTGTTAGAGATTTTAGAATCATAGAATCACAGCATTGTCCAGGTTGAAAGGGACCTTTCAGATTATCTGGTCCAACCATCAACCCAACTCTGATAAAACCCATCACTAAACCATGTCATTAAGCACTATGTCAACCCATCTTTTGAATCCCTCCAGGGATGGTGCCTCAACCACTTCCCTGGGCAGGCCATTCCAAGGCTTGATAACCCTTTCCATCTCAATTTTTTTTCCTAATATTCAATCAGAACCTCCCCTGGCACAACTTGAGGCCATTTCCTCTTGTCCCATGGCCTGTTCCTTGAGTGAAGAAACTGATTCCCCCTGGCTACACCCCCTTTCCTCTTGTCCCATTGCCTGTTCCTTGAGTGAAGAAACTGATCCCCTCTGGCTACACCCTCCTTTTAGGGAGTTGTAGAGAGTGAGAAGGTCTCCCTAGCTGTCTGAACCTGCACAACTTGAGGCCATTTCCTCTTGTCCCATGGCCTGTTCCTTGAGTGAAGAAACTGATTCCCCCTGGCTACACCCCCCCTTTCAGGGAGCTGTAGAGAGTGAGAAGGTCTCCCTAGCTGTCTGAACCTGGTGGTGGAGTCCATATCCCTGGAGGGATTTAAAAGACGTGGTGCTGAGGGACATGGGTTAGTGATGGGTCTTGTCAGTGTTGGGTTGATGATGGGACTTGATGATCTGAAAGGTCCCTTCCAACCTGGACAGTTCTATGATTCTAAGTAGTCCATAGTGATGGGTTTTGTCAGTGTTGGGTTGATGATGGGACTCAATGATCTGAAAGGTCCCTTCCAACCTGGACAGTTCTATGATTCTAAGTAGTCCATATTTCTGTTGTGTTAGTAGTACAGTCCTACCTTGTGGTTTCTAAACCATTTTGCTATGGGGAATGATCATGAAAGATCCTTCTTTCCAATAACAGTGGTTAATCACTGTTAATCTACACTGTTAATCACTGTTAATCTACACTGCTCTATAGGGAAACACTGGGTGCAGAATAGCAAATGTACAGCGAGGAGTATCAACTATTTTAGAAAGAAGAAAATTGTTACCGAATCACGCATGCAAGGGTAGCTAACATTATATTTTCATTGTAAAGTAAAACATTATTTTTATACCCACAACAAAACATGGACCTGCAGAACTTTTCAAGCAATCTTCCAACAGCTTCATACGAGTCTTTTGCAGCTCAGGACTGTCCCATTCATCCGCTTCCACTCCCCAGTATAAGTCTATGACCTGGAAAACAATATACAATATTGTTACTTTACCACATGCCCTTTCTATTCCACAAATTAAAAATTAGCTTTATCAATGTTTTGTGTACTGCTCTGCAGTGAGGTCCAGTCCTCAGATTAACCTGGCAGGTAAATGACAATTCAAGCCTTTTATTTTCCCTCGAGATAGTCCCTCCTGGGACAGTCTCTCATTCCACATTCATTTATTCATTTTTTTGGCAGAGATTAGCATGACAAGATCTTGATTTGATGTAGTCTTTATTTGCTACCAGATTGCATATAATGGATAGGCAAGTGTAATGACAAAAGCATTGATAAAATCCTGGCTGCGTGGAAATGAAGGGGAGTTTAATCGCAGACAAGACCACGACTTGCCACCCCGTGTCATTTGTAGCCACAGGATATAAAATCTTCCTGGGCACCTCATTCCACATTCATTTATTCATTTTTTTGGCAGAGATTAGCATGACAAGATCTTGATTTGATGTAGTCTTTATTTGCTACCAGATTGCATATAATGGATAGGCAAGTGTAATGACAAAAGCATTGATAAAATCCTGGCTGGGTGGAAATGAAGGGGAGTTTAATCGCAGACAAGACCAGGACTTGCCACCCCGTGTCATTTGTAGCCACAGGATATAAGTTTTCCTGGGCATGTGGCTCAAAATAAGGAATATGTGCTGTTCTGTGATGTTGTGCTTCCTTTGTTGGCCGGGCTTTGTTACTTTGGAAGCAGAGGTTGTGTAGATGCGCGGTGGCAGACAGCGTGCTCTCCAGCCTCTCCTCTCTAGCTAAAGACTCAGTTTTCTGGTGCTAATTAGTTGCAAATGAACCCCTGGAAGAAACTGGAATATGGACGTTAAAACTTATTTGAAGAAATTAAGTGATGAAGTGTGATTTCCCTACACATTTTATCTAAAAGGCTGAATTCTCACTGTGAGAAATCAAATTTAGTGTAGGAATCATGTATGCATTTATTTTGGAATAAAACTTAGGGTACATGCTACCACTCTCTTATTTAAGCCACTATTGATTGCATACATCATGTATGTAACTTGAACCAAAAAAAAGGCTGAATGGATAGTTAAAAAAAAAAAAATTATATTGTCATGAATATATTACAGTATTGTTATCGTAATATTATTTGTACTGCAATTCTGCACTCTGCTGTTTCAATAAGAAACAGAATCACAAAACTAAGCAGATCATAAAATCAGCCCGAAGATCTAACGTAAGAACTAATAACGGGTTGATGTAAAAGTCAAATTCACCCCTTTGCAGCTGGTTGATCTCCTTGGAAAATTTCTCATAACAATAAATGCCAAGGTTTAAGGTTTAATCCTAGAAGAATTTATGCCCGTGTTTAATTTCACAACCTACAATCTTGGTTTTTATTTCTGCCAGAAAATGTGGGGACACGAGTCAGTGTTTGCTGGAGCACTGTCACCAAACATCAGAGCTCACGTGGGGACACGAGTCAGTGTTTGCTGGAGCAGGCACACTGTCACCAAACATCAGAGCTCATGTATGGGCTGACCCATGGGGAGAAAAATAGCCCAATGTATAGAATGCATTGTAACTTACACTGCCAAAAAAATACACTTAATATCTTTATTTTTTATGGAAACTCTGTTCAAAAAATTTACTGGAACAAGCAGCTTCTGCTTTGAAAAATTGTATCTCAACCAACCCTCCTATTTCCCTCTTCTGCACCGATTTCTTCTCTGCCCTTCCCTCTTTTACTCTTATTAAGAAAAAAGTGTTCTCTTCTTCCTCTCTCCCTTCTGTTATTTATCTGTACGACTTCATTATTGAACTTCAGGTTGTATTCAGCTGTCTGATTACTGGAGTGATGTATGATACAATTCCAGCCATAAAATTAGAGCATCTTAGCATCCAGTCAAAAATATTCGAATTACTGCTTGAAGGAATGTATTGTGCAGCTCGTCTGAAACACCAAAGCAATTTCTATTTTAATTAACTCTTCAGAAATCATGTTAATTCTGTAAATGTAAAGAGGAAATTCTCTGGAACGGCAGCTATTGTGGGAGCTCAGTGGCTGCCTTTGGCGTGTTGTAGTGTTATAGATTACTTTCATGGGGTAACACAATTTTGGTGCTGTCCTGGTTTCAGCTGGGAAAGAATTTTCCTTGTAGTGATTGCTGTGAAAGGAATGTCAATAGTGGATACTGATTTAGCTGTTGCTGAGTTAATCTAATACTTTTCAAGGACTCTTTTCAGCCTCCTGTAGAAGCGGAGAAGGGTTATAGATAGAATAATAGAATAAGAGAATAATAGCATATTCCATACCATTTGTGTCTTGTATATTCTTTTAACATTATTATTATCATTTTTGTTGCTATTTCCTTTTCAGCCTCCTGTAGAAGCGGAGAAGGGTTATAGATAGAATAATAGAATAAGAGAATAATAGCATATTCCATACCATTTGTGTCTTGTATATTCCTTTAACATTATTATTATTATCATTATTGTTGCTATTTTCCTTTTCTGATCTTGTTCTTTAAAACTCTTATCTCAACCCATGAAGTTTTGGGGGCTTTCTTTCCTCTTTCCTTTCCCTTCCTTTCCTCCCTCATCTCCCTGTCCTTTTTGGGAGGGAAGGGGGAGAACTCTGCCAGTGGCTGTGGGATCCTAACTGCCAGCTGGGCTTAAACCACGACAGCATCTTCACAGGCCATAATTTTGTCCTGCAAGAAGAACTATTTCAGCCATCAAACCTCTGAAGACACCAGGAAATGAGGGCCTTATTGGTTATTCTTTACGTAAACCGAAATAAAGAGGGCTGACAGAATGAAAGAAGTGGAACGAGGAGACAACTGTATCTCATGCTGAAGTATGTTTTGACTTATATTTGGAGGAAGAGTGTGATGAACACCCACTCTGGCTCTCAGCGAGGCTGCTGAGGTGGGACACAACCCGTGGTCCCTGTGAGAGCTGCTCACCCGCAGCCGGCTGACACGGGGCTACTTCAGTTCCCCACCAGTCACCTAACGGAGCCATTCATTCATAATTCAGTGTGTCCTTTTGCTAATTTTAGCTTTGGTCCTACCCATCTTACAGTTTCACAGATTTTTTTTTTTTTTTTCCTAAGGAGATGAAATAATTTTATCTTCATTGCTTCCAAGTGCTTAAAAAAAAAAAAAAAAAAAAACACGAAAAAATTTCATTCATGTAAAATTCCACTTTCCTACTAGCGTAAGTCACATGGGGAACATGATTTGAAAGAGCTCATTGTTCCCAAGAAGACCATGCTGCTAATTAACTACAGTTAGTTATCTTCCAAAATTTTTCAATTATAACTACTTTACTGGAACAGGTTGGCCAGAGAAGCTGTGGCTGCCCCATCCCTGGAGGGGTTCAAGGGCAGGTTGGAGGGGGCTTGGAGCAACCTGGTGTGGTGGGAGGTGTCCCTGCCCAGGGCAGGGGGTGGCACTGGGGGGGCTTTAAGGTCTCTTCCAACCCAAACCATTCTATGATTCTACTTCCCTTCTACTTCTCCATCCTCCCCTAAAAAAATACTGAATTTCAGGTACAAAACACCATGCGCTCTATGAGTCTTTTTCTCAACTTACTTCTGTCTTCACCAATAATCGTTTTTCAGAAATATTTTCTGATTCAATGGAAGAGGAAGTCCATTGAGCAAACACACTCATAAGAAGTTCCATCTGAACATGAGGAGGAACTTGTTTGGTGTGAGGGTGGCAGAGCCCTGGCAGAGGCTGCCCAGAGAGGTGGTGGAGTCTCCTTCTCTGGAGACATTCAGACCCACCTGGACACGTTCCTGTGGGACCTGCTGTAGGTGACCCTGCTGAAACCCACCTGGACCCGTTCCTGTGGGACCTACTCTACGTGACCCTGCTGTGGCAGGGGATTGGAGGAGATGATCTCCAGAGGTCCCTTCCAACCTCATATCATGCTGTGATTCTGTGATTCTGTGACTGATTGAATATATTCAGTTCTGCTTCCACTCACACGGTGGCTATTGCTCCCTGATGGCTCCCACCGACCTAGGGATGCCTGAGGACACTTATCGGTGCAGCCAAATGACTCAGCAGAAGCTGGAGCCACGAATGTGCTCAAATGCATTTAATTTGGGTCATGATTTGTCAGGAAGAGGCTGTCTTCAGGTCACCCAATAATATAGTGTATTTATGGTAGTCACACGCAAGGTAGTTCTCATTTGGTCAGTAGGAGATTACATCTCAGGATGGGAAGTCGTGTTCTGCTCTGGACAGGGAGATATAAATTTATCCCTGTATCTGAAAAATACATAATATTTCCTTGACACCACTGCACTAAAACCAATGTTTTGATAGAGCCAACTTCAGAGCCGACTCCAGGCTGCTTTGCTGCTTTCCCTCGGTGTTTTTTTGTACAGGTTTTCCTACTTTTCTCCCACAGAAATGTGACTCCTTCCTAGCTGTTTTCAGAAACGTGTCAGTGGAGCCATCTCTCAGACCTCATATGGCACAAGGATGCTGCTGGTGTTGAAGCTATGTAATAAAATAGCTTGCTTCCATGCATATCAACGAGATTAAACTTAATTACTCCTCCCCTAGAGACGACGTTTCGATCCATTTGAGGACAGAGAGGTTTCCCCTCACAAGGAATTCAGTGGATTGTGATCAACTCAGAGGAGACATCTCCCTCCTCAAAAGATGACTGAGAAATTAAGAGTTCTTATTTTCCATTAATATCACCTGGTAGTGACAAGGGGGAAATGCTTTATTATTGAAATCTCTTTTGGTATTCCTTGCATGTCCTGCTGCAGCTGGGACTTCCCAAGCAGCTCATGAGCTGGGACCTTCAGGAAATTCTACTCCAAAATCACTCTGGAATTTGCCACTGTGCAGATTCAGCAACTCCACTGCCACTCGGGGAATTAAACCCAAATATCCTAATTGAAGAACTTGGTACTTTGATTAAAATCCAGCTGCGTGTGCATCAAGAATAGGACACTGGGAGGAACAGGATGTGGTCTGAAAGGCTTTGGCTGTTTCCAAGTGATCTTTTCTCCAGAAAGCTGAGGATTTTGGGGTTGCTAATGTGGGAGGTTAATACTGGTGTGTGAGGAAAGCTTGAGGATGTAGAATCAGAACTTTTGGAAAATCGAGCAATGTTTTTACACCATCTCTTAGCAGAGACCCAGTCCAAATACTTTGAATGTCTAAATATATCTAAAATAGAATATCTAAATCTGAATATCTAAAATATTTAGATAATATATCAAATATATCAAAATATCAAGTATATCAATATCAACTATATCAACTATATCAACTATATCAACTATATCAACTATATCAAAATATCAAATATATCAAATATATCAAAATACATCAAAAATATCAAAATTTATCAAATATATCAAAATAAAATATCTAACATCTAAATCTGAATATCTAAAATAGAAGTGGTTTCATTAAGTTTCTAAGGTGAAAGCTGTCGGTTGGTTGCTGTACTGCTTTTACCACCGCTGCCATCTCGCATCGTGAAACCCTGATTTTTTTTCACCTATTCAAAATTTACCCCAAATCTGCCTGTAAAATAATTTATGTCCGTCGATTCAGTACAATTAACATGTGAAATACGTTATTTTTTTTGCAATTTTGTATTTTACCAACGATACAATTACAATATTTTGAAAAAGTTACCTGTTTTAAAAACAGTTAATTTCAAGAAAAAGTAATGCAAGATTCAGTAGAACAAAACCTACCTGAAATTCCAGCCCATAATTTTCCCTGCAGAATTCTCTCAGCTTAGGGTACACGTGCTCTCTCAGGGCGCTCCTTTCTGCTATTGTATCTGTGCAGGGGAAAAAAAATGTATTTATATTTATATTTATTTATATGAATATATATATTTATATTAACTCCATTCTTTTACTCAGAGATACAGATTTATCGCATTAAAAAAAGCCCTTAAAACAGACAGACAGACAAATACACACAAACCTAATCAAAATCAAGTGATGGGATTTAATCTCCAAACTGTGTGTTACACTTCATCATGTCCAGAGAAGCTGTGGCTGCCCCATCCCTGGAGGGGTTCAAGGGCAGGTTGGAGGGGGCTTGGAGCAACCTGGGCTGGTGGGAGGTGTCCCTGCCCAGGGCAGGGGGTGGCACTGGGTGGGCTTTAAGGTCCCTTCCACCCAAACCATTCTATGATTCTGTGATGGACCCAAGCTCTTTGTGGCAGTGTCAGACTGTGCAACAAAGGCAATGACAACGTATTACAGTTTGGGAAGTTCAGGTGGGACATTAGGAGAAAGTCCTCTGTCCTTGGAGCTCTTCAAGACTCCACTAGAGAAGTTCATAGTTGACGTAGTTACTTTTGGCAGCACTTCAAGAGGAAGATTAGTCCATATGGTCCTCCTGAGCCCCCCTCACAACCAGCAATTGTCCTGTCTCTCAGAAGAACCTGTAGATCTGGCATAGTCATCCAGAGCCTTCCTTCAGTGCCTGGGAGGACTTTTGCCTCTGCGTGGGCCAGCGGGAGCCAAACTGTAGAGTACAGTAGCTGGTGCCAAGGACCCAACATCCACACCATGTGTATTTTAGGGAGATTTCCCTTTGGGTTGAGCTCAACTCCCACAGACATTTGGAGTTCATCAGGTGAGACCCTGAAGTTATTTCTCTGGTTTTCATCCAAAAGGAACCCAGTTTCATGCACACCAAGAGCAGTCTGTGACGTTAATCAAAGTATATTAGGTAGTGATGATCAAGAGATTCCCCTCAGAAATGCTCTCCAGATCTGGGTGAGGACAGATGCGTCCTACAAATACTTAGGAATGGAGTACAAAAACAACGTCCGTAAGGAATTAGTACCTAAGGAACTGAGGGATGGATGAGTTGCTCCCTCCTTAGGACCCACAGTCATTAACTTTCTCTCATACTTTAGTGCCTGAGTCAACCTTTCCTTGCAGAATGTAGTACAGCTAATGAGGCTAATTAGCCGGAGGGTTGCACTGTGCCGATGCAGCACTATAATTTTGGCTCCAAAGCAACTTTTCTCAGTGCCAGATTGGAGTCAGTGTGATACAATTACAATATTTTGAAAAAGTTACCTGTTTTAAAAACAGTTAATTTCAAGAAAAAGTAATGCAAGATTCAGTAGAACAAAACCTACCTGAAATTCCAGCCCATAATTTTCCCTGCAGAATTCTCTCAGCTTAGGGTACACGTGCTCTCTCAGGGCGCTCCTTTCTGCTATTGTATCTGTGTTGGGGAAAAAAAATGTATTTATATTTATTTATATGAATATATATATTTATATTAACTCCATTCTTTTACTCAGAGATACAGATTTATCGCATTAAAAAAAGCCCTTAAAACAGACAGACAGACAAATACACACAAACCTAATCAAAATCAAGTGATGGGATTTAATCTCCAAACTGTGTGTTACACTTCATCATGTCCAGAGAAGCTGTGGCTGCCCCATCCCTGGAGGGGTTGAAGGCCACGTTGGAGGGGTCTTGGAGCAACCTGGTGTGGTGGGAGGTGTCCCTGCCCAGGGCAGGGGGGTTGGAACTCGATGATCTTTAAGGTCCCTTCCCACCCAAACCATTCTATGATTCTGTGACAGACCCAAGCTCTTTGTGGCAGTGTCAGACTGTGCAGCAAAGGCAATGACAACATATTGCAGCTTGGGAAGTTCAGGTGGGACATTAGGAGAAAGTCCTCTGTCCTTGGAGCTCTTCAAGACTCCACTAGAGAAGTTAATGGTTGACGTAGTTACTTTTGGCAGCATTTCAAGAGGAAGATTAGCCCATATGGTCCTCCTGAGCCCCCCTCACAACCAGCAGTGGTCCTGTCTCTCAGAAGAACCTGTAGATCTGGCATAGTCATCCAGAGCCCTCCTTCAGTGCCTGGGAGGACTTTTGCTTCTGCGTGGGCCACCCGGAGCAAAGCTGTAGAGTACAGTAACTGGTGCCAAGGACCCAATATCCACACCATATGTATTTCAGGGAGATTTCCCTCTGGGTTGGGCTCAACTCCCACAGACAGTTGGAGTTCATCAGGTGGGACCCTGAAGTTATTTCCCTGGTTTTCATCCAAAAGGGACCCAGTTTCATGCACACCAAGAGCGCTCTGTGACGTTAATCAAAGTATATTAGGTAGTGATGATCAAGAGGTTCACCTCAGAAATGCTCTCCAGATCTGGGTGAGTACAGATGCGTCCTACAAATACTTAGGAATGGAGTACAAAAACAACATCCTTAAGGAATTAGTACCTAAGGAACTGAGGGATGGATGAGTTGCTCCCTCCTTAGGACCCACAGTCATTAACTTTCTCTCGTACTTTAGTGCCTGAGTCAACCTTTCCTTGCAGAATGTAGTACAGCTAACGAGGCTAATTAGCCGGAGGGTTGCACTGTGCCGATGCAGCACTATAATTTTGGCTCCAAAGCAACTTTTCTCAGTGCCAGATTGGAGTCAGTGCTGTAACTTGACATAAAAGCTACCTGCATACTTCGCTTCATTTAAAATACTTTTGGTTTTTTACCTTCACAGTAACTGAGGTCTTTAAATCAGTCAGTGGGAGAAGACTATATATTACACAGAATCACAGAAAAACAGAATGCTGTGGGGTTGGAAGGGACCTCTGGAAAAGATCTCCTCCAACCCCCTGCCACAGCAGGGTCACCCACAGCAGGTCCCACAGGAACGCGTCCAGGAGGGTTTGGAATGTCTCCAGAGAAGGAGACTCCACCACCTCTCTGGGCAGCCTCTGCCAGGGCTCTGCCACCCTCACACCAAACAAGTTCCTCCTCATGTTCAGATGGAACTTCCCATGTTCCAGTTTGTGCTCATTCCCTCTTGTCCTGTCCCTGGGCACCACTGAGAAAAGCCTGGCCCCATCCTCCTGACACCCGGTCTGGAAAATTCAGGGGGGTTTTGGAATTTCGCAAGGGTCCCAGGTGCCCGGGCGTGTTCAGGTTGGCGATTAGGAACCATTTCTTTACTGCAAGGGTTGTCAGGCATTGGAATGGACTGCCCAGGGAGGTGGGGGAGTCACCATCCCTGGAGGTATTTAAGAAACGTGTAGACGTGGCTCTTCAGGGCAGGCTCTAGTGCCCGAGATTATAGGTTTGTGGTGGGGTGTTGTGTGTGGGGTTGTGGGCGTGGGGTTTAGTTGGTGGGTGGTGGTTTTGGGTTTGTTGTTTTTGTGGTGGTTGTGTGGTTGTGTGGTTTTTTGGTGTTTTGTTTTGGTTTTTGTTTGTTTGTTTGTTTTTTGGTCTCAGAGGTCCCTTCCAACCACTAAGATTCTGTGATTCTGTGATTCTGTGATTCTGTGATTCTGTATAGAGCAGATAAAACCCTCTTCTGCTGCTTTCCATCCATGCCCATGGGACTGACCCAGCAGAGTCCCCCTGGCTCTTGGTCAAGAACACGGTGCCGTTCCCCGCGGCGCGACTTGTAGGGTCTTGCTCAGAAGCTGGAACACGCTGCCAGAGCAGTGCTCCCTTCCTAATCCCTTACAAACGAGACAGAGAGAGATAAAACAACCCTTCAACCAGGACTCTGTTTCAGATAAGACACTTGGGGATACCGATCCGGTGTTTTTATTCTTATCTCCAAATCTACTGGAATGTGCTTCTCTAATTGGGATTTGAGTCTGGTGCTTACATTAATGAGTTTTCGGCATCCCTGTATTTGTAATAATTGTGAAATTTTAAGGAAACGGCAGTGCATATAGTTAAGGTGAGCTACAGTAATTAGTATGGATGGCAGCTAAGCTGGTTTAATTAAATAAAATCTAACCTGATTTACAGTGACAGCAGATCTGTGAAGCTGGCAGATCCTAACAACAAAAAATGTCACACAGGCAAATTCCACCTTCCCGGCTGCGGATGAAGGGATTAACTAAGGGATAATTCTTCTAGCAGCCAAAATGAGACAGTAGTTGTGAGATGAGCTTTACCACACCTCCTGATGTTAATTCTGATACTCTGGAATCCAAATTATAGTCCACAATGAACGCTGGGAATGAAACTACATCTGCAAAACTGCTACGACAAGACTTAGAATCATAGAATTATAGAATCACAGAATGGTTTGGGTGGGAAGGAACCTTAAAAATCATTGAGTGCCACCCCCTGCCCTGGGCAGGGACACCTCCCACCAGCCCAGGTTGCTCCAAGCCCCCTCCAAGGGGCCTTGAACCCCTCCAGGGATGGGGCAGCCACAGCTTCTCTGGACTTTCAGTCTGGAGAAGAGGAGACTGAGGGGAGACCTTATTGCTCTCTACAACTACCTGAAAGGAGGGTGTAGAGAGGTGGGGGTTGGTCTCTTCTCCCAAGTTACAGATGATAGGACAAGGGGTAATGGGTTCAAGTTGCACCAGGGGAGGTTTAGACTGGACATTAGGAAACAATTCTTCACAGAGAGAGTGGTCGGGCATTGGAACAGGCTGCCCAGGGAGGTGGTTGAGTCCCCATCCCTGGATGTGTTTAAGAACCATTTAGATGTGTGTTGGGGGATATGGTGTAGGGGAGAACTTTAGAGTAGGGGAGATGGTTGGACTCGATGATCCCGAGGATCTCTTCCAGCCTAGATGATTCTGTGATTCTGTGACTTAAAAAAGCCTCGACGCTAAATTAGTCTCCGGTATTAAAACCAACGCCAAAACCCAACCCTGTCTTGAGTGGGGTCAGTGACTTGCTGAACGTCCACCAACCCTACAAGAGCTCACTCTTGCAGACAGCTGCCTCCTGTGGACAGAACTGAATTCAGCAAATTCCACCAAAGAAGAGGCACTCGAGGCTGAACCGCCAAGTGTTTGTGCGAGGTGTGATTCCTGCCGGCTTTGCTTTGCTTTGCTCAGGCAAATCACTGCCAGCTTTCATTAAAGTACTCCAAGGTGCTGCTTCTCAGCGTGAACCATCTCCATGCCAAAGTCTGACCTTCAAACACAAGCTGTTCCCCTCTTAAAGTGGCTTGGTTTATTTTTAATAGGGAAAGTGCATCTTAACATCCCTGTGTTAGTAAACACATGATGTGCATTTACAAGCAGTTGCCAAACATTAATCTCTGGGGGTAAAAATAAGTCATGGAAAATGGCCTAGTTGAAGAAAATTTCAAAATGTGAACAAAAAGACTTAACGTGGAAGCCTGATGGAAATAATTGCACGTTTTCCAGCACCAGTTGTTCTGCCCTAGGACCAGTTTCTCCTCTTGCTGGTGGTCTTACTGGTCTGAGTTGGGCTGCAGTGATGGGAAGGGCTGTTTCACACTGGTGGGCTGCAGTCACACCATGGATCCTGCTCAACCCAGGCTGAATTAGGAGGTTGCTCAGCCCCATCCTTGTCGCCGTGTGTTGCACAGGGGGACACCAGTGTGGGGACAGCGAGCCCCCAGTTGACCACCCTCAAAGGAGAAGCGCATTCAAGTTGAGAGTCTGTTCACAGAGACATTGAGTCACCCGTGAGTCACCTCGATGCAAGCTAAAGCCCTCCAGCAGGGGAAAGTCCTCAGCAGGGAGGGTGTTGGCACCCATCAGTTTGACTGATGGAGGAACATGGCGTGACCCAGCTCCCAGGAGCCATCAGGAAAGCTGCTGACTGACATAACAGGTTGGGGCAGGCAGCTGAACATGGAAGAATGAAAGGACCAAGGCAGAAAAAAAAGAAGAAGAATCCAATATCAAGCACAAATACAGACTGGGTGGAGAATGGACGGAGAGGAGCCCTGAGGAGAAGGACATGGGGGTGTTGGTTGATGAGAAGCTCAACAGGAGATGGCAATGCACGCTGGCAGCCCAGAAAACACCTGCATCCTGGGCTGCATCCCCAGCAGCGTGGCCAGCAGGGCCAGGGGGGGATTCTACCTCTCTGCTCCCCTCTGGGGAGACCCACCTGGAGCACTGTGTCCACCTCTGGAGTCCTCAGCACAGGAAGGACATGGACCTGCTGGAAACAGGTCCAGAGGAGGCCACGGAGATGCTGGGAGAGCTGGAGCCCCTCTGCTGGGAGGACAGGCTGAGAGAGTTGTGGGGGTTTCACCCTGGAGAAGAGAAGGCTCCGGGGAGACCTTGGAGCCCCTTCCAGTCCCTCAAGGGGCTCCAGGAGAGATGGGGAGGGACTCTGGATGAGGGAGGGGAGCCCTAGGAGGAGGGGGAAGGGTTTGACCCTGCAAGAGGGGAGATGGAGCTGAGCTGTGGGGAAGAACTTGTTTGGTGTGAGGGTGGTGAGAGCCTGGCCCAGGTTGGCCAG